TCTAGCATCCCTTCTCATGTAACCATATCTATTATCCAGGTTGATTAACAGCAGAGAAATACCAAGGAATAACAGAACACCACCACTGCAAAAGGAATGGAAGAGAAGTATTTAAGACTGAAGTTTAAGTGATAAGAACTGTAAAGGTACCACTGAACTATTCAAAAGTGATGGGATTAGATGCTACGATGATACAATTTGCTAGAAGAGATCAGACTTCCTAACTATGCTAGAAGCAAATCTCAAAAAGAGAGGAGGATAACGTTGACATAAGACCGAAGAACTGTAAACTTGCTGTAGAAGTAAGGCTGGAACTAGACATGTGGTTTGCATGAGAATAAAGACAGTCTTACTCTTCCTAGCTGAGGTTCCCTGCAGATCTTGCACAAGCTGTGTGGCCTGCAGAGGTTACCCATTCCACTGCTGCCACTACCAAAAAAGAATTTGGGAGCCTTTGACAAAGTGAGTAACCCAGCTGGCTGGAAACATTTTCAGGGGCTCTGCTAATTAGATTGACTGTGCAATTGTTTAGAGTTCAGGGTTTATAACACACCTTGTCCTTCAGTAAACCGTTGGGTCCAAGAATGTGTTCAAAAATGTGCTGTCTGACATGGGCATCAACAGCAGAGAGGGGGTCATCCAGGAGGTAAATGGAAGCCTTCTGGTACACGGCACGAGCAAGGTTCACTCTTTGCTTCTGCCCTCCAGACAGATTTATTCCCTGTAAAAATGTATTGACTCTGTTTATTCCAGTGCTACAGAGTATTTGTCAGCAGTTGACTCCATTTTGCGCTGAGGTTTTATGACTCCCTTATTTTCAAACCAGGGCATCTCCCTCCCTCCAAAGAGGGCTCTTGCAGAGGCAGAGTCTCTTGAGCAACTCCACTCTCCTGTGAAAGAGCACCCCAGAATGGCCTGGATTTGTTGATTTTTGTCTTTAACAACTCTCATGTCTCTTGTTAGGTTAACTGTCAGAAGATGGGCTTAATTAAATTAAACCCTGGCCAGACTTTCCAGAAATTACTGAGCAACCGCCTCCTGCAAGTTTAGCTTCTTTGTAGGTGTTTTAAGCAGGACACCTGAAGTTGTAGCTACTCAGAGAAAAGCTGACCAAAATATTAATCCTAAATATAAGTACCTTTTCTCCTATTTCACTCTTCTGCCCTGCAGGGAAGCTCTCCAAATCAGGGTGCAGTGCACAAGCATCTATCACTCTGTTGAACCACGTTTCATCCATCTCTTTCCCGAAGAGAATATTATCTTCCACTGAAGCATTTAGTACCCAAGCTTGCTGGGGGACATAAGCTGCAGTGTCCTATGGAAGTGAAACAGTGTTAGTAATCTTTTCCATAAGCTTGACACTGTGGGAACCCCTCTTTGAAGAAAAGCTCTCTGAGCTATAGAAGTCTGGAATGATCATCACCATTGATAGGTCTCAGAGGGCTTTGCAAAATATGAGTCTGCACTGTTGTTATCTTACAGAGGAGGACACAGAGGTGCAAGTACATGATGAGATTTACCAGGATGACATTTCAGCTCACTGTCTCAGTGGGAAACAGAACTGGATCTTTGAAGCAATATTTCAGCTCCTATTTCCAAAGCCTTCAGCACCTTTAGGTAATTAAATGTGGACTAATACATACAGCTTTTGTTAAAATTCAGCAGTAAATGCATTTTCATCAAGTACCTGATGCCTTGGTTAATACCTTACAGTTCCTGAAAACAGCCTAATTAGAAGCAAATGCTCAGGGGAAAATTCACCTTCATGGTCACGGAGCCGTCCAGTTTCTCCAGCTCACCAAGTAATGCTGAGAGCAAGGAGGACTTCCCAGCACCCACCTGGCCAACTACAGCAAGCAAAGAGCCCTGGGGCACGGTAAGATCTATCCTACGGAGAAAAGATTAGTTTCTTTTCACATTTTAGATATACTTTCTCAAGAGGAAATCATCAAAATTCTTGCTATTGTTGTGTTGCAATTAAAATGTACCCAAGTAAACCACCCTAATTTCATCCTGTCAAAGACACCTCCAACCAGAAAGTCTGATCCACATCCCCCTCTGAGTTTCAAACCCAGATCCAAGACACAGATCCCCACTCTGCAGACAGGCTAGCCCAAAGCATTGGATATAAAACATTCCTAAACATCAGCACTGTTCAACACTGTTTCTTCTTAAAAAGGTCAATGCCTTTGGAAATAAGCATCTATTGATATCATATATAATACCTGCATACCATCTGTTCTACTTTTTTTTTACTTAAATTACTGTAGTTTCACATTTGGACAAGAAAATTGTGTAAAGAAGTCTCTATAGATTAAGGCAACATCCAGATATAGGCACCTTCCCATTTATGTGCTCCCAAACAGAAAAGCAAGATTATGTTTTGTCTGAGTCTGTAATTTTCAGAATTCAACATTAAATGTGAAATGAACTCAGAAGGACATTCCACAGTAGCCCTACAGAGAGACAACTAAGAGTAAGTCTGTACCTTCTAAGACAAGGAGAAGTTTCTTTGCTCCAGCAAAAAGTCCCATTTCTTATGGTGATACTTGCCTGTACTAAAATATGAAGAGAAATACAATACCTGTAAATGCAAAAGGTGCTACAGAAACATCTCTATTCATATGATTTTGTTTCAGTGTGTATATTACATAAAATGAACCATAAGCATGAAAAAAAGGAGATAAATTACTAATTAAAATTTATTGGTAGAAATAAACAGGCCTGAGATATAAAGTGACAGTAACGGGCAATTATTTCTCTTGACTGTGGTAAGCACCCTGAGTAGAAGCTGAACAATGGAAGTTACTCCTCTTTTAAAATAACAGTGCTAACATAAAAGCTCACCAGAGCCAGAGGTGCTTCTGCTTGAGCTCTCAGGATTCAGTTGTTCCAGATTCAGAAAAGCTGCCAAGCGGTTTAAAGAAACTTTGGCCTGAAATGAAGCAGCACACAAAAGAAAATAGGATTTAGAATAGAAAGGGAGCAAAAACCCAAAGACTCAACATGAAGACCCACTTAGATCATCTGCTGTGTTGCAGGTGCTGTAGGCTTAGATGGCCAAATGCAGCTCTTCCTTAGGTTAACTGCCTTTATTTCCATTTAGCTTAGCAAAAAAACCCCATATCCTTCATGGTACTTTTGGTTCAGTGAAATTGGTGCTTTTTTCTCCAATTCATCCTGCAATCTTTCCAGTGATCACTTCTGAAAAGCTCTGACAGCCTTGAAATGTAAGAGGGAAATGAATTTCCTTATATCTTACTGGACAATGATTTGCTTTTCTCTCTGGCCTGGGCTAGCAGGGTTTCCTGCTGTGGAGGTTTTGCTGTGTCTGTTCTGACTTCTGTGATTAAAAACAGAACTAGAAGCACCTCTGGGATTTATTCGTGCTCGTGATGAGCTCCAAAAGACTCATGAGTAATTCTTGTTGACTATTTTGTCAGTAAAAGGAGTCTTTCTGAAAAACAATACTACAACAAAGTACCTTTACTTGCAAGTGCTTGCATTTCACTGTTTCACAATAGCAATTAAACAGCTGATGTGCAAAGCTCTAAGAAATCTCTGTGTTTACCTGTTAATGGTGATATGTAAAAAAAAACCCCTTATGGCCAAAGGAAAAGGAACACAGCCTGCAATTAACCTGGACAGCAGCGTTGATGGAGAAGGGCAGGAAGGAGTGTGCAGTGTTGAGGATGTTGATCAGTGTTAGAGACACAAAGGCCTTCTGAGCATCCAGGATGTGTGTGTTATCCACCAGGGTGTACACAGCAAACATGACAAATGCAATCTGAAAAGGGAGCAAAGGAAAAGCAAACCATTTGCTTCAGATAGGGAAGAGGATGGTTCAAGGGTGACAGGCCCCTTCCTAAAGACTCTGGAACCCATTTAGTTAAATCCAGGCCATCACCTCTGTGCACAGTACCCACTCTGCAGGTATCATGGCCAAAGGTCTTGCACATCGGTGGCAGTAGCAAGTTGATAATTTGATATTTGTTCTGCATTAAGGAAGTTTTGGTGCTGCAGCCTCAGCAAGGTGAAAGCACAGCAGTTTCTCATTGAAAACACACATGGCTGAGCTGCAACAGCACGTGCAAAAGTGGCTTGTGCAGCTCCTGACTGTGCCATGAACTCTGCCTGGCTTGGAGGTCACCCAGTGGATCTTGCAAAGCAGGCTCAGGCTGCCTGGAGCACAATGCCAGACCAGATGACCTGTCCATGGAACTGTTAGGACAGTGTAAATGTCTGCTTGGCTGACTCCACTGGGGCTCAGAAACTCCTGTGAGACCACCAACTCCTCCAGGCAGATATGATCTTTAGTTTATCCCATAGGAAAGTCTGTCCAGGGAGGAGTACAAAGAGAAATGGAAGTAATACCACATTGTTTATGCAGGAAGGTTGATCCACTCACCAGGAAAGTTGATGAATGGAAAGAAACTAGGGATGCTGAGAAGAGAATTTGAGATCTTTTTAGGGCCTGAAGTTCTTGCTTCCGGATCCCAAGCACTTTCTCCATGAAGGTGTTCTCCCAGCCATACAGTTTGATTACTTTAATGTCACTGAGAATGGCATTGGTGAGTCTGGCCCGCTCATCTTTATGTTTCATCTGGGTCTCCTGTAATAAATGTTTGTGTTATATAATTTATTAGGTTATTAGTTTAACGGTGCAATTATTCTGAAAATATACCTTATTCCTGCATCTAAGTCCTGAATTAATTTCCCTGCAGTTGAGCTGTGTGTATTGTTTTGCTTATGAATCTTCCAGGCTGGAAAATATTCTGCTTTTCATCTTCAGAGCTTTATTTTTGCTGGCAGTACATAAAAACCACAGAAAAAATAGGCAAACAGGGTAAAAGATTGAACATGCAAGTGCTTAGTCTAAATTCTAAGAAGCTTTGCAGGCTTCCAATCCTCCTATGTTCCTTCAGACAATCATGGTAAGCATGAATAATAAATATTAAACCACCACATATGTCAGTAAATAATTTCTCTTTTTATGAAGGAAAATATACCTGAAACTGACTCCTCTTCTTGGTGATCACGAAATTCAGAGGCAGAAGCAAAAGGAATACAGCAATTGCAGTCAAGGCAGATGGCCCTAGAAGCTGCCAGGTGAGAAAAGGAAAGAGAGAGAATTTCTGGTGATGACTAGAAATTACTGTTTTCTGTTCCCCTGCCTTACCTTCCCTCTTACTTGAACTTATGCATAACATCCCTCATGGCTAAGGCTTTGCTCTAATATTGCCTTTGCCTTTCCTGGGAATTGTGCTCCCAAAGCGCTGTGGATTGTTAACCATCCAGGCAGGGTAACTCCTGTCATCAGGCTCTGCTGAATTTATTTGCTTCCTTGTTAGGAACTAGATTAGTGCTGAAAGTGATCCAGCAGCGCGCTGGCAATTCCAGCCATTCCTGTTTCTTTCCATGTTCTTGGCTGTGTTAAGGAGGACATCTTGTGGCTGGCTTAAGTAAGTGATCCAAAACAATACCAAGTTTTGGTTAAAAAAATAAACCCAAACCCTCAACAAACTATTCCTGCAGCAAAAATAACCCTTCTGGTCCGGATTTACATCAACGGGTGAGATGAAATGGTGGCATTATCCTGTGCCATGTACACTAGGTACAACCAGTGTTCATAAAGACTTGTGTATCAAAACAGACAGCCTGTTTCTCATGGGTTAGATCTATCCCTGCACAGGGATGTGATGTGAGTGGTGGTGTACACAGAGAGAGATAAAAGTACTGTCTACACAAATGGTCTATGAACAGTAGCAAACAAAAGTGATAATTATGCTCCAACTACATGAGACCACATTCAGCTTCTCAACACCACTAGGAAAGGGATAATGACTTTTCAGTGATTTTCACCATGGCTGCCAGCTTTCCAAGGTCATGGTACCCTGCCAGGCACAAGGCACAGTCCATCCTGCATAGCAAAGGAAGGTCTCAAAGGTCTTTTCCTTAAAAGAGGCTGAATACACAGGTTAGAAGGTTAAGTGAAGGATCAGGTAAGGATCCTATACCAATGAAAGCATCTTCCAGAAAGAAAAGTGAATGCACCATGCTACAGAGCTAAGAAAAATGTGGCAAATTCAGGTTGTTCAAACTAGTAAAGCTCTGAGTAGTATTTTGAAAACCCCTTTTTTCCTTGGATATCTAGAATGGAAAGGGTTGATAAGTACTGTCATATTTTACCTGCCACAAGAAGACAAAGCAGATGATAATCCTAATAGGAGCAAGCCAGGTCCCATTAAAATAGATAATCAGATCCATTAGCTTTTGGACATCAACAGATACCAGATTAACAATTTCACCTATGGTTGCTGCTTTCCTTGAGGCATTTGACATAAGCAGGATCTAGATAGGGTAGAGAGGAAAGAAAAGACATCATCAAACAACAGCTTTGGTCCAGAAGTCAAACAACTTTCTTTTGCTCATAAAGAAAGAGAACAAATAGAGGGAGAAAGATGTTAAATCCTAGGAATTGAAGCCATGCTGCTGCATGTGACTTCACTTTAAGAAGAAGCATTTACTGCTTTCCCTAACCATCATCTGCAGCATAAGAAACTTTATGTTGAATTTTGCGCTTTCCTTTTCTTGGCTTTTTCTTCAGAGATAAAATTTGAAAAGTAAATTATAGATTACCTCCCATATACTGTTCAGAGATGAACATAGCACAGAGTGACATCCAGATATTGCCAGGAACATTGTACCAACAATGGTGTAACTACTAATGTAGGGGTGAAAAAAAAACAAACTAAAAAGGAAGCTACAAACTCACCTTCCTGTACACAAGCCCTGTTACTGCAGTTTTCAGTCTCAACCCCAGAACAAGACACATGTACATGTAGCGTTGCTCAAACAGAGTCTGGAGACAAGCCAAAAGGAACATAGTGAAGGCATAGAAATAGCCCAGCCAGCTGGGTGCTTCTGGATCTTCAATGAACTTCAGGAAAAGGCTGCAAGACAGGGACAAAATGTTGCTGAATCCACGTAGAACTGATGGACTATCAGACACGTAAAAACAAACTGGCAGAAATAGCAGTGATTTTTCTGTATTCTCTCTGAGAGGTTTATCAGTTAAAAAGCATAAGAATTGGAAAAAACTGCTGAGTAACCTATATCATATAATATCCTGATTTTTGACATTTAGTCACTCTTGGTTTTGAAACAATCTCTGATCTCAGCATCTTCTCAGGGGAGACCTCACTTTGAGTGTTATGGATGGCTCCTGAATTTTATGAATTTGTCAGAAATATGCAAAGTGGCAGCTGTAATCTAAGGGAGTCATTGACATTTCCAGAACTTCTCTTAATTTTAATGACTAAGAAGGGATTTTGCCCTTGAAAGTATACTGTAGTGAAGGGTTATATTTGTACCAATACAACCCACAAAGCATTATGCCAACTAACAAAGCTACTAAAGATGTGCAGGATGCCCAGCTGTGCTCTTTGTAATTAGTCAGGGAACCCAGAGCCTTCAGACTACAGCAAGGGGCTGACAGCCAGTGCAACTGATGTGATATACAGAGCCATCAAATAACTCCTGTTCTAGTAAAGTTGTCACATGATACGTGGTTTAGTGCATCCTGTCCTTTCCACTGTTGGAATACAGCAGTGGAGACAACATGCACAGCTTTAGACAGTGGTTTGGTGACTTTTTGTCCTGAGCTGACAGTGGGCTAAGCTCAAATGACAGTTCAGCTCTTTGCACCAGCTACAAGAGATTCCAAAAGGCCACTGTGTGTGTGCCCATGTCTGTGGGTGCTGGCATAAACACCTCTAAGCTCATCAACACAGCAATCCTGTGCATGTGATAGAAATACATTACAAATACACACATACCTCAGTACCTCTGGGACGGAGAACATGAAGACATCACAGATAACTAAGCAGACAGTGCTGAGGAGGAAATAGGTTCCAAACATGCTCCAAAACATTTTCAGTAAGGGCTTGCTCTCACTGTACTTTGACTGCAGCAGAGCCTCTGTCTCTTCAGACTGAAGGCCAGCTTCAGTCTTCTGACCCTTTTTAAATGTAGCAGACTCCATTTCTCTAAAGAAAGAAACAATGAGAAAGCCAGCTACAATTGTAGAAAGCTTGGGAATCTTGTGCTTCCAAAAAATCGTTAAATATCTTACACCAGGTCTCATACCATGTTCACTATAAATGTTCATCGAAAAGTGACCCCTCTCACAAAAAAATAAGTTCTGTGCTTCCAGGGATGAAAGGATGGGAGGAAGGATGTTCTCCAGCAATTTTTAACACTTAAAATCAGATTTTGCACAAAGGAACTCGAACACCAACACCTGTAAGTGTATTTGCTAAGATCACCTAGACCTGCCCAGCTGAGCCCATGATGTGCTCTCTAGATCAAGTACTCACTGCTGAGTCCTGCTGTGACATTTCTTCCACTCTCTTTCTGCCCAGGCAACAATTTCTTCAGAGGAGTCCTCTTTCCTCACTGGCCACAAGTCATCCACCCCCAAGGACTGCTGAGAGCCTTTCCAAAGAAGCCTGGAGAACACACAGACTGCAGTCAGGTGAGTGCAGAAGGTTTTGTGGTGCATGTAACACTTTCAAAACAGATGGATATTAAGTTAGTGCATCACAATGAGCATATGGGAACAAACCTGAGTTACAACACCACTCGGGACTGTCCTGTCCCAGAATAAACATGAATGTCCAAGAATACCAGTTTTGCTTTAAAGCCCTATTCTATCCTCTGTCAACCCAACGAGGATTTGCAAGTAAGCCCTTATTTCTAGTCCATAACGAGAGTCTTGGGCAGTGGGACCAACGTTTACTTTAACTTACTTCTGGGTTCAGTGAAACCAGATGAGACCTTATCACAGCAGACATTAGGCCCAAGGAATGTAATTCTTTTACTTCTGAATGCGCAGCAGCAGGTTGGGTCCATGTCCTCTTCACTACTTTTCCCTTGCCCAGCATTTGTTACATTGTTCCTGCTGGCTGCCACCTACACCCTCTCTTATGCTGCGGGTTTTTTTTTTTTTCTGATATTCTATCAAAACCACATTTCTGTGTTTTCTTACCCAGAGAACCACCAGTACGTGATTTTGGAAAGAAAAGAGCTTCTGGCTTCTGGACAGTGATTCTGATGGGAGAGAAAACATGGGTGATGTTTCTATATAGGAAAGTGCATGTGTCAGATGAATAGAATTCCGTTCTGTGCTCCCCCAGAAAAAGCAGAGTTACCCCCACCCCTCAATTCACTGACCCAGATTCTGCCAGTTACCTTTGAAAACCATCAGCCTTTACACAGAAGATGCATCTGACATCACCCAGGTACTCATGTTCCTGTGTATCCCCATACATTTCAAATCCTATTTCAGCAACGAAGCAGTGCATTAGGAAAAGCTGTGTTGTACTTACAGGATTGTTGACATCTTTTGAGAAGAAGGGAGGGTGATCAACGAAGCAGAATAACACAAGTTCTCCTAGCACCAGGCTGGCATAAAGGAAAGTTGTAACATGGTGGAAATGGTCTTCCAGGAAGGCCTAAGAAACAGAACGAGGTGAGGATGAAGAAATGAACCATCATGTTAAGTCAGCAGAGAAAGATGGCTTCTCATGTTCTACCAGCCAAAAGCTCTGGGTTTTGTTTTGAAGCATGAGGTGCATTTATTTAAGCTGTAGTTGTGTAGAGCTAAATAGATAACTCCTGAAACTGGAAGATCAGAAAATGCTAAAAAAGACACATTTATTATTCACGGTGACAGTTTTATTGTGAGGATTCATAGTACTCAAGTCAGGTGTCCACAGTCCATCATTTTTCAGGGAACTTTGAATGCTCTGAGGGATAGAAGCTCCTTGCTCACCCAGTGGGGTGAGTTGTTGATATAATAAAGCACCTGCTAAGTTTTACTATAAATGCTGTGTCTAAGGGGCTCCATGAAGGGCTCTTTAATTCATTTTGTGAATGAGAAAGAGAAAAAACAACAGAAAAGTCTAAATATTTTTGGAACAGTATATTGGTAGCAAGAAGTTGCCAAGTGTTATATCAACAAGCAGCCTTGTGCCTGAGTATCCTTTAACACAGCAGGAACAAGCAAGTTTCCAGCTGTATTTTGTTTTGTGGCTGCATATTTTTCCCCTATTACTTAAGACACACAGGTAACAAACTTCATCTGAGGAAAATGGCCACTGACAGTAAGTCTGAGATGTGTAAGCCCAGCAAGCACTCCTCTGCAAATAAACATCCAAATAAACAAATATAAAGTGTCAGCAATCATTTTTCTCAGCACATATCCTAAGAGAGGAATTTGGTTCTCCCCCTCGCAGTCAATGAGACAAAACCAGACCTGTTGTTTAGAGACTTCATACCCTTGCACACTGAAAATATGTGGTTTCACTTACTCGTTCCAGGGCATGCTGAATTTTGAAACTAAACATCACAACTGCAGCCACAAATGAGAGCAGCCAGTAAATCAACAGGACCCCTGAAGACTGAATGCCCATCATTCTTTCTGCTTGGGTAAGGAACATGGCAAGGATCTGTGAGGAAGTACAAATTTGTCCAAATAAATACCTGGTAATGGAATGCCAAACATTGTTATCAAATTGTACAAATTCTATCAAATGATACAAAAGAAAAAAAAATCACTTTCTTGTCCAAACGCTTCAAGATGTTCAGAGCTGTAATATAGTTCCCAAAAGGTTAAAACTGAACAGCATCATGTGCAGTTTTGCACTCAGCAATGTCTCTGCAGAAAGAGCAAGTAATAAAACTACAAGTGAACCAACAGGCAAGGTCTGCTCTGCCCACAGGGCTCTGTACTGTAGGTGTAGCCCCAGTGTTCTGCCTCGACTCCAAACCCATGGCTTCTGCAGCCTTCTATTCCCCATCAACCAAATTTGTGCTGAGAGATACTGAGAAACGTGGGAAATACAAGATCTGTCCCAGGAGGGCTAAGCTTGGCCACGTGCAGACAGACATGGAAGAATTACCATTGTGATTCCCATCACAGCAGGGCTGATGAAGAACACTGCAGCCCGTGGGATTCCTTGGCTTATCTCCCACAGCATGAAGAAAACATTAGTAAAACACAGTATCACCAGAGTGAATCCAAGGACCTGGGGCAAAGATGGAAAACACATGTTGGAATGGATGGGAATGATAGGACAATCTCACCAAACTGAGAGCTCCAAGCAGCCTGCATGGTAAAACTGGAGGAGGTGGAAGAGCAGGTTTGGAACAGAGAACGTTATGGGAAGTGGCAGGGAATCAAATGGAAATACAAGGGAGGAGATCTTATGATCTTATGACTTTCCTAAAACTTTACTTGATTGATGCTGACCTGACTTGAGTCAGTGAATGTCAAAGCAAACACAGATCATCAGAAGAAAGTTAATGATTTAGAAAAAGTGAGTTCTGCATCAAAGCTGTGATAACGTTAGGATCAAACCCCCATGATCCACCCTTACCATTTTGGTTTTGAAGATGCGTGACATCCTGATATAGCCCCTGTCCCTGCGTCGAAGATACAAGTAGTAGAAAGGAAAACAGATCCAAAGATAGGCACAAGGGATCCAGGCAATGACTGAGCTCTCAAAGCACCAGGTAAATCCTGGGGTGTTTGTATGCCATGTCTGATTCCAGTCCTGTCACAGAAACAACACACAAGTGAAACAGCAAAAAAAATGAACACAGAATTTCATAGCTGATGCAGATTCCTAATGCTACTGCTGAGATCTGCTGTATTAGTGGAATTTGATTTAGGGTTTCAAATGTAAAAAACATTTGGGTACAAACTCAGCTATAGCAGTTTGGACAGAATTGAAGTAGAAAGGCAGGACAAAAGAAAAGATTGGAAAAGTGAAAGATGCCAAAGAAAGGACATGTATCCCAACTAGAGAGAAAAGAAAGTCAATGCATATTGAATGAGAAAAGGTAATTTGGGATTAAACAGATGATCAGCATTTGGGAACCATTATAACAAACAACAGGAGACGACCACTGCAATGGAGATTAGGAGGAAAAAGTGTCCTAGTGCACAAACTGCATTTCCTCATCTGTAGGTCACAAACCTTTTGTGACTTTTTGACTGAACAAATACTGGATCTCATCTGGCAATGTAACACTACTAAAAGTACAACAAACTGTACATGAACGGGTAAGGGTATTTTTTCCTTCAGCTTGCAGAGCAAGTCTGAGGAAAGGAATCACCATGATGTAAAGAGGAAACAGATAATGGCTCACAAATTATTATGGGAGTTTATCAACCTTGGGGATGAAAATCCGTGGGAGTCCGGACTGACAAAATTAGAGCCCTTTTAAAGGTATTTTTGTGGCGGGTCCTTCAAAGGATACTTCCCGAAGACAATAAAGGGACTCATTCCTGCATCCTTCCAGCAGCGCAGTTCATGCAACTCATCAAATTCCACTGTAACTCAGAACAGCTTGGGCTGTTCTGTTTGGGCGAAAACTTGTCCCTGGGAAGCGAAGTCCGCACCCACTGGAACACACTCCATCCCTCGCACTTCACATCCCCCGCCGCGGGGGCCGGGGCTCCCTCGGGCAGCCGCAACGCCGGGCCGGGCTCCGGAGGGGCTGCCCCGGCAGACAGAGCCGCGGTCACTCACTCGGTCGGTCACTCACTCGGTCACTCACCCGGGGCCCGGCGGGCCCGTCCCGGGGCCCGCACAGCGCATCGCCCGCACCCATCGCCCGCGGATCGGGCCGGGCCCCTCCGCCCGCGGCCCCGGCGGGACGGGACGGGCGTTCCCCCCTGTCCGGGCAGCGCCCAGAGCCCCGTTCCCGGGGTGTGAGCCGCGCCGAGAGCCCTGTAGCGCCCGGGCCGTCCCGGCTGCGGGCAAAGTCCGGCCGGGGGCAGATCCGGGGCTGGGCAGCCCGGCAGGAGCGGCACCGGCGAGGCGGAGCCCCCGGGGCTGCCGGGTTTGGGGGCTCTCTAAACACACGGAGTCCGGTTTGGAGAGAGATGTTGTTTATTCTATGCAGGGTGGAGGCTCCCGCGAATCAAGCGCGCCAAGCGCTAAAAATAAATAAATAAATAAATAAAATAAAATCTTGTATACAGTAAAATTTACATTACGTGAAGCCGCCTAATAAATATTCTCCGCCTACACAATGCATATTCATGAAGCAACTCCTGTTTCAGAAGTTATCTGGCTTTAGCTGCGCTCACAAAACGTGAGAAAGCGCAGCTCGCAGACACCAGTTCCTTTCGGAGAAGTTGCCTGATTTCAGCCTGGGGCACAGATGACCCAGGCTGGGGCACAGATAAGCCAGCGTGAAGCCATTCCCGGCCGTGGGATGAGGGTCGGGGGTGTCCAGGGGGACATCCCTGGGGAGCTGCCCCGGGAGCAGCCGCAGCCCTCCGGGCCGGCAGGGGGCGCCCCCGCGGGCGCCGCGCTTCCGGCGGCGGCGCTGACTCAGGTGGCGGGCCGGGCCGGGCGGGGCCGGGAGGTGCCGGCCGAGCTGCGGGGCCATGCGGGGCCAGGCGGCGGCCGCGCTCCTCTGCGTGCTGTGCTGCGCCCTGGCGCGGGGCTCCGAGGACATCGTCGTGGGCTGCGGCGGCTTCGTCAAGTCCGACGTGGAGATCAACTACTCGCTGATCGAGGTGGGCGCCGCCGGCCCCGGCTGCCCCCGGGCTCCCCCGAGCGCTGCCGCCCGGACCGCGGGAGCGGTGCCGGTGCTGCTGGTGGGACTGCGGGTCTCCTTCCCTCCGGCCCGGGCTGTGCCTCGCACAGTGCAGCTGCTCGCCCTGAACCTCGTCCTGCTGCCCCCGGGCACGGCGGGTGCTGCTGTGTGAGAGCCCCTGGTTAGACAGCCCCAGCCTTCCTAGCGTTGTTTTAAAGTGCCCTTGTTGTGTTTGCTTCTTTTAGATTAAGTTGTACACAAAACACGGTACCCTGAAATACCAGACAGACTGTGCTCCGAACAACGGGTATTTCATGATTCCCCTCTATGACAAGGTAAGACGCCGCACCACCTGCGCTGTCTGTGCAGGGGCTGCCCCCGCCTCCCCATCTACCGGCAGGTTAAAACAGGAACAGAATCCCTCCCGTGAAACCTTCAAATCAGGACATAATTTAGTGTGGTTTGGACCAAGCTTTCAGCTGTTTCTTTCTGTAAGGGTGCTCGTTATGCTGAGAAAAGCCAGGTAACTGTAGCTGTGGTGTTGCATTTGTGCTGATAATTGTAATGGCTGCAGCGCTGGGAGACTGAGTTACTGCGAACAGCTGTGTGCTGCAGC